TTTAAATCATTAAAAATTCAAAGTTAACCCCCGCCCCTCAAAATAGGGAAAGGGTAGATGACAAAAAACAAAAATTTCGTAACACTTTAAAAAACCTACTTGGTATATAAATATTAGGGTGGCCCAAAAAAAAGAATATTTTTTTTCTTCTCGTCTCTTGTGAAAATATGTTGGTTTGTCATGTTTTAAGAGCCCTGTCAAAAGATCAACACCATTAAAAATTTTTTAGGGGTCGCTCAAAATTTTTAAAAATTACCAAAATCGTCAAAAATTGGATTTTTTTTTATTTTATTTTTTTTTCTCGTTCTGATATTATTTTTTAATTTAAAAATAATAATGATTCTGAAAATTTCAAATCGATATTTTAATTTCTAAAGGTCGCTCAAGATTTTTTTAACTTTCAAAGTAGAGTATTTTGAATGTTTTCGAGCGACCTCTGAATATAAATATCAACGAACTTTTAGCGACCTTTAAAAATCAAAATATTGATTTGAAATTTACAGAATTTTTATTATTTTCAACCTAAAAAATAATATCGAGACGAAAAAAAGAATTAAAATAAAACAAAAATTCAATTTTTGACGTTTTTGGTAATTTTTAAAAATCTTGAGTGACCCCTAAAAAATTTTTAATGGTGCTGATCTTTTGACAGGGCTCTTAAAACATGACAAACCAACATATTTTCACAAGAGACGAGAAGAAAAAAAATATTCTTTTTTTTGGGCCACCCTAATATTTATATACCAAGTAGGTTTTTTAAAGTGTAGTATGTAGCATAACTTTTAAAAAATTAAATTCTTTAGAAAATTATTTTATAAATACGTTAAAGTTAAACTTAAAGTAATATTAAATTTTCCATCAACCAAGTTTAGGTGCTAAAATTCAAATATTAGTTTAATACTCGTGTGTTGTTTTGATTTAATCTGCATTGTAGGTATGCTTTTAAAATTTGTTTTAAAATTATTAACATTAATTTTACCAGTTTTGCAAAAATGGCGAATGCGCCGGGATTAATACAAGAAATTTTGTTGTCCATATTATTTTCTTATGAGTTTTCAATAAATGCAAGAATAAACTTTTTCTACTCCTATTACGGAATTTGACCCTTCTAATATCACTTTTATCTATGGAATGACATATATTCCGAAAAGTGTTACAGAATGAAATATTCTATCATCCTATGACAGAATAAACACTCGTGGCGACATCTCTGTTTTTAATATCTAACAAATTTTAGACCGATCCAACCTCACTTTCTTCCAATGAAATTACTTTTCTATGGTATTTTTTGAAACACGTTTGGAATTGCATATTCCGCTCTCGTGAAACCGTCAAACTTGCCTTCGGCTCGTGTGACAAACTCTTCACTCGAGCGGAATATGCTGTATTCCAAACTTGTTACAGAATATACTATTATTAAATAGGTTAACTGAAATTCTGCTGTACGAATAAAATTGTTTTAAAAATCACATATAAATATTATTTGCAAATTTGACAAATATATTTTTGCGCAGGGAATATTGTTGTTTATTGGCTAGAGAATTACATAGGCCAACGAATTCGATTTTTTTAAATTACTATTTTAAAAATAATATACAAAAAAATACCTTTTAAAAACTAAATTAAATTTTAAAATTTAAATAAAACGTGTATTTCTGAAAATGGACGTTTCTATAAAGTTTTTAAATAATGAATTAATTAAAAATAAAATTGAACTTAAAAGATCTTCTAGACGAAAATGACAGATTGATAATTTTGCTTGGACACAGTTTTTTAAACTGTTACAAATGGACATTTCAAAATTTTGAGTAAAATTTTGGTAAACTAATAGAGAAGAGGGGGTAACTTTGAATTTTTATATGGATGATGTTATTTTTTTTTAATTTTCGGTTTCTGAATTATGATTTATTAGATTATAAGATACAAAAAAAATATTAACAATTAAATTTTAACTAATTTATCGTCTGTCATGTCGGAGAAATTCTTCAAAATGTTCCATTTTAACTTTTAAACACTCTTTTTCAAAATGAATTTCGCATACTTGATAAATAAATTAGGAATATTTTTTAGTATTTTATAATTTAAGAAATCGTAATTTCGTAAGCGAAAGCGTCTAAAATTTTTTTTTGCACATTTACCCAGTTTTTTATTTAGATTCGTTTTTTTTTAAATCATTTAAAATCCAAAGTTACCCCCCGCCCCTCAAAATAGGGAAAGGGTAGATGACAAAAACAAAAATTCGAAATATCCCCTTGTAACACTTTAAAAAATCCCACTCGGTATATAAATATATATGTAGTATAACTTTTGAAAAATTAAATTCTTGTAATATTAAATTTTCTATCAACCAAGTTTAAGAGCTTAAATTCAAATATTAGTTTAGGGTTCTAACTTTGATGATACTCGTGTGTTGTTTTGATTTAATCTGCATTGTAGGTATGCTTTTAAAATTTGTTTTAAAATTATTAAGATTAATTTTACCAGTTTTGCAAAAATGGCGAATGCGCCGGGATTAATACAAGAAATTTTGTTGTCAATATTATTTTCTTAAGAGTTTTCAATAAATGCTAAAATAGACTTTATCAAATAAGTTAACTGAAACTCTGCTGTACGAATAAAATTGTTTTAAAAATCACATATAATTATTATTTGCAAATTTGACAAATATATTTTTGCGCAGGGAATATTGTTGTTTAATAGCCAACGAATTCGATTTTTTTAAATTACATTAAAAATAATATGGGTGATTCTACAAAAGTTGGGCAACTTCTGACCTCATTTTTTTATATAGTTTTCGGAGAAATTTAAACAGTATTTTGTTATGAGAACATAGATAATATAATAAATAATACTGTTCCAGACCGGGCCAGTCACTTTTTCTAACAGTTTCTGAAATATCTGTGTTTTCTAAATTACAATGCAAGGGAAGTGACGACTATACCAGGGTACTAATTAAATACATAATTTATTGGAAAATATAAGATTTATTGCAACTTTGAGCATATTATACATTAAATATCATAAAATCAAATAATACCACACATCAGTGGCGGCTGGTGGATTTTGGGTATACCGATATCTCAATTATTACATATGGGACCCACACCAAATTTATATGAGTTTATAATGACATTTAATAAACAAGTTCTGCGCAAGCAGAATTTAAATTGAAGTTTGCGAAAAAAAGATAACCGAAACATCGAACATGGAACTGACGACTCAGTACTAATAAATGGGATACAAATTTAAGATTATAATTCGGAATTAAGTATTTTATTGATATTTTTTATTAGTGGATGCTACCTATTAACAAATCACATATAGCCTTATATAAATAAAAATAAAATATATATAAGTAAGAAAATAACTACTCACGACAGTACTGAAATTTTGACTGGAACTATATGTGCATTCACCACAACTTCGCCGCTTGCATTGTTTTCAAGATGACTGTGCAAAGGGCGGGCTCTGTAGGTAATTTTTTACCAACACTTGAGTTAAAACGAGGGCTTGACGTTTAAACTTCAATATTTCGCAGGAATTTTGAATTTTAACATTGGACACAGAACTGATGGGTAAAAGTGAGTACAAAGATTATCAATTTTTTTAAAATTGCTATTATTCGAATCTATAATAATATATGAAAAATAAATTATTTAATGTTTTCTAGTTTGTAGTGAAATTAAAAATTTAAGATAAATTGAATATTTTTTAAAATAAAATCACTCAAATATTTTATTCAGGAGTTGTGACACGCCAAGGTACTGATGTTTTGAATATGTATTATGTTTTTCTACAAATGTGCTTTTGAAAAAATACATTAAAATTTGGTGGGCAAGTTAAAAAACCTGGATCTTTTGTAATATACTAAAATATTTACAAAAAATATTAAAATACCTACTCTATTGACTGATGACATCAAGTTGTCCAACTTTTGTAGAAACACCCATATATACAAAAATACCTTTTAAAAACTAAATTAAATTTTAAAATTTAAATAAAACATGTGTATTTCTGAAAATAATAAAGTTTTTAAATATTGAATTAATTAAAAATAAAATTGAACTTAAAAAATCTTCTAGACGTTTATTACTGCAAAACTGTACGGTGATTTACACATTAATAATAACTTAATAATAATAATAATAATAACTTTATTGTGAAAAACAGTACAATACATGTATCACAAAAGGCATGAGTTCAGCTTCACTGATCTTCCAAGTATATAAAAACTAACAAATATCAACAACATATTAAAATTACAAGATTACAAAATTTCTTTGGCTTGGATCTCTAATAAAATTTTTAAGATATTAATTTTAAAAGTCCCAAGGGATATATCACTACTTCACAAAATAAAATTTTTATTCACAATGCTGGCAGCCAAATATTCGAAGGAACTCTCAAATTTTTTTGTTTTATGGTATGGAATTGACAACAAACAATGACTTCTAACATTTATATCATGACTATTATATCTATATTCCAAGAGTGAAAATAAATATAAGGGTAATTTAGTTTTAATAATATTGAACAACATAGTCGCAAATTGCTTGTAAAAGACATATACACATTTCAAAATATTTAACCTAATATAGTGTGGACCTACAGGGTCTCTGTAGCTAACTTTATAAGAATATCTTAAACAGCAGTTTTGTACTTTTTGAAGTAAATTTTGATTTTTTTTATTTGCATAGTTAAAGTAGACAGCACCACAATAATTAAAATTACTCAAAATAACAGCCTGACATAAATTCCATTTTACATCACTACTTAATACCTTTTTATACTTATACATTGATTTAAATTTCACAAAAGCACCAGAACAGAGTTTGGTAACATTCCTCTTAAAGTTCAAATTGCAGTCCATTATTACACCTAAGTTTTTAGCATAGTCTTGTAGTATTATCACAGAATCATTAATTAATATATTACAGTTTATTATTCTAGCAGTTTTTGCACATAAATAACGTACATTAACAAAACTAATTTTCTTTCAGAAGAACATCACCAAGCCATTCACCACACCTTTAAAAATGCCGTAAACAACTCACCATCAAGAAAACAAACAATGACCGACTTGCACCTGCTCGCGGAGGACCCGAACGAAACCTCCTCCATGGAGTACCCGACCAACACCTCCATCTACACCATACCCATGGACCAATCGTGGCCCGCTTACGCCTGGACCTTCTGCTTTCTGATCGCCCTCAAAACAACGGTGATGGCCTTGATAATCATAGCCGCCTTGTTCGGGAACCTGCTCGTGATCGTGTCGGTGATGCGGCACAGGAAGTTAAGAGTGATTACGAATTATTTTGTGGTCAGCTTGGCCATGGCGGACATGCTGGTCGCCATTTGGGCAATGTGTTTTAATTTTAGTGTGGAGCTTACAGGGGGGATTTGGATTTTCGGCTATTTTATGTGCGATGTTTGGAACTCGTTGGATGTGTATTTCTCGACTGCGTCCATTTTGCATCTTTGCTGTATCAGTGTTGATAGGTAAGTTTTGTTAACAATAAAAATATTTATTTTTATTATTTATAATAGAATGTATCCAATAAGATCACATACCTACATGATATTGGATCCATGGACTTATCTGATAAGGAAATACATAAGTTTTACTTAAACTAAAATATATTTACATTTACTTTAGGTAATACTTTAATAATTAATATGTAATTATTACACTTAAGATAAGCTACTTAAGTGTGAGATTAAAATTAATTATTTAAAAAAATAATTTTTATAGCATATATGTATCAAGTTTGATTAGGCATGACCGTAGCTTACGAGCAAGTATTTAATAAAAACGAGTGTCTAGAGAAGTTTATAAAACGAGTTGAGTATAGTATCTTTTTCTACTCCTATTGCATATTATTGACATTATTTGGGTTTTTTTCGTAAATAATGGTAACCAATATAACCGCCCGTCTTAACAACGGAAATATTGAACTCATTATTCACGTTGTTAACAGATTTGTTTATATATACGAGGGGCGACTATAATGATCTTTAAAATCGAGAAAAAGTAAGGTTATAATAAATTTTGTTATCAATGAAAATTACTTAATTGGAGTAGAAAAAGCATAGTATTACACTCGAAATAATGCGCAATATTTACTCGGATAATTTACAAGATGCAAACATCCTTGTTAATAGCATAATATTCTATTATCTACGACGAACAAAAAGGAGAATTTAAAGCCAACTTTATTTGTTAAACATTTACGAATTTAACGGATTTAACCCCACTTTTTCCCAATTAATAATAAACTTCAGCTTGTGACTAAAATGCCCAAAAGCCACTGTTGCTAACTTCAGCCCATGACTACAACGCCATAAAGTCACAGCTTGGAGTAAATAAAATATTAAATAGAACTAAATTTTTAATTATGTTATAATTTTTTGTCGTTGTTGTGTTTTAAATGTCTATATAATATAAGTATTAATCCCGGCTCATTCGCCATTTTTGCAAGAAATATAGAATTTAGAATTGTCTTACCTAAAATGTTTAAAATACAGGTGGGTTTAATATTAAAATAGTATATTAAAGAACTAATGTCATAAGACGTCATTTTGTCGCACGCGGACAATTTCTAATGTCATGGACGAGTGCGACAAAAGGTATTATGACATGAGTTTTTATGTTATTTTATCTATTTCGAAAAAATTCTATATATAAATTCTGTATACCTTAAATTTAATTTGGTCGAATTTAACTTAAGATAGTTGGTATCACAGTCATAGGTTTGACAGTTAATGTCAAAATCGATTCGCCATGCCGTCCTTAATTTACTTATTCACAATAAGCTGTTAATGTTAAAGAAAAAAAAAAGGATTTTCTTTGGTGTTAAACAAAATTTATTGCTAGAAAAGTCTCGTAAGTACTAGAAAAATCATAAAAAATTATAACCAATATGCAAAATATTATGCTGCCTAAAGAATAGCCAACCTATAAAATCAAAATTTTGGGTGGGATAAAGTATCTCATTGCAGCATCGAAAGCGGTGTTATAATGAAGTCATTATTAAGGCAAAATAGATAAATAATATTTTTGACAGGTAGTTTTTAAGTTCAATTTTATTTTTATTAATTAATTACCTATTTAAAAACTTTATAGAAATGTCCATTTAAGTAAAATTTTCAGAAATTAAAAAGTACGCCATTAAAGAGATGTACCTAGTAATATAGGAAATAATATAAGGTATAATATTTTTACTAAATCATTTTAATTAAAAAGATATGATGAAATTTGCTAATAAAAAATATTGGACCCCAGATATATAAGACAAAAAAAAACGTTGGTTCCTATGACGTTTTAAAAATAAAAATGTATAAATAATTACAAAGTTAAGAAGGTGCGGACACGATATAAGTCGCTATGAAGAAATGCTGAAAAAGTTCAAAATTGTAGTAGAGTCTACTTAAAAGACATTTGGTTTCAGATTAAAAAATTATTAAAGTTTCTACTACATGGACTGTTTATTATTGCCAAACTCTGTTAACAAAAATTATATGCCCTTACTACAGTTATAAGTGCATACGAGAAAAAAATATCGATTTCTTATTGTCGCGTTATAATATATGCGTTAATTAAAAACATCTTCTATACAGACATGTTTTTAATTAATGTACATCTTATAACGTGACATTGAAAAATGAACTCTTTTTTTCTTGTATGCCATATAAATTTTTTCACAATACAGTTTTAAAAGCCGGTCAAACTCGATTTTTGTATAGATGTCGCTGTAAACAAATATTTAAATTAATTAGGTATTGAAAAAAAAATGTTATTTGAAACTATTTTAGATTAATATTTAAAAAAAGGTTCGCTATGTTTGCAAAAAGATAGGTTTTACCTATAATCTTTACTGGAAATATTTTTAATTCTTTTAACATAGAATTAAATAAATACACATGTTTTATTTAAATTTTAAAATTTAGTTTAGTTTTTAAAAGGTATTTTTTATATATATTATTTTGTAAATAGTAATTTAAAAAAATCGAATTCGTTGGCCTGTGTAATTCTCTAGCCAATAAACAACAATATTCCCTGCGCAAAAATATATTTGTCAAATTTGCAAATAATAATGATATATGATTTTTAAAACAATTTTATTCGTACAGCAGAATTTCAGTTAACCTATTTAATAAAGTTTATTCTTGCATTTATTGAAAACTCATAAGAATATAATATTGACAAAAAATTTCTTGTAATAATCCCGGCGCATTCGACATTTTTGAAAAACTGGTAAAATTAATGTTAATAATTTTAAAACAAATTTTAAAAGCATACCTACAAGAGAAGAAAATAATATTGACAACAAAATTTCTTGCATTAATCCCGGCGCATTCGCCATTTTTGCAAAACTGGTAAAATTAATGTAATAATTTTAAAACAAATTTTAAAAGCATACCTACAAAGCAAAATAAATCGAAACAACACACGAATGTGATCAAAGTTAGAACCCTAAACTAATATTTGAATTTTAGCACTTAAACTTGGTTGATGGAAAATCTAATATTACTTAAGTTTAACTTTAACCTATTTATAAAATAACTTTCTAAGAAATTTAATTTTTCAAAAGTTATACTACATATATATTTATATACAGAGTGAGTTTTTTAAAGTGTTACAAGGAGATATTTCGAAATTTTTGTTTTTTGACATCTACCCCCTTTCCTTATTTTGAGGGGCGGGGGATAACTTTAGATTTAAGCACTTAATATTTCTTTAACTGATGACAAATTTTAGGGGGGTCATGGGGCTAAATGTAATACAACAACAAATACCTCAACAGTTGTCCCCCTTGATATGTAAATTGACGTGTTTCGCCCAATTTTTATAGTGTCATCGGTTAAAGAAATATTAAGTGCTGTTCATTTTAAAATTGTTACCATGTATATACGAGGTGTGTTCAGAAAATATCGGGAATTTTCGTTTTTTGAAACAAATATATATTTTTATTTATTCGTCTACATTAATGTTGACGCCTTTAAAATAGTCCCCATTGGATATTATGCACATGTGCCAGCTCTTCTTCCAATACTCAAAACACTTCTAAAACTCGATCTTTGGGATAGCCTTTACTTCTTTCAGCGATGCGCTTTTAATGTCATGTATGCTTGCAAAACGACGGTCCTTTAAGGATCTCTTTATTTTTGGGAATAGGAAAAAGTGAGACAGCGAATATGGAGGCTGGGGCATCATTACAGTTTTTGGCCAAAAATTTTGTTCAAAATTTAACAATTTTAGAACAAATTTTGCTGCCACGCGTTTCATACCCAAAACACTTTTTCTATGTTTTTATCGGTTGTTAATGTGCTTGTGTGTTCGAGGCGTTCGTCATCTTCAACGTCTTCACGGCCATCTTGGAAACTCTTATACCACTTGTAAACTCTTGTTTTACTTATAGCAGACTCACTATAGGCCTTTGTTAACATTTCACAGAATTTATTTCATTTTTTAAGCAAAATTGGATACATTTCTTTTAACGAACGAAAAATCGCCGAGCTCATAAAACACGTCTTACCTTAGCGTCTGCCACAGACAAAGTAAACGATGAAAACAGCTAAAGTTTTTATCATACTTCGGGGGCATGTATACCAACATAATAAAGAAAATTTTATGACAACCGGACCCTCCAAACCCGCGAAATTTAACAATTCCCGTTATTTTCTAAACACACCTCGTATAGGAATCTCAATTCTTCTTTGGACCTATTAATTGACAAAAATGTATGGTTTAAGATAAAACTATCATTTGAACATTTTTCTTAGGTACTACGCAATCGTCCAACCACTAGACTACCCCCTTATAATGACAAACCACCGCCTCATCATGATGCTAGCAGTTGTTTGGTGTAGCCCAGCTCTTCTCTCGTTCCTCCCCATATTCGTGGGTTGGTACACTACACCGGAACACCTGGAATTCCGCAAAAAGTACCCGCAAGTCTGCACGTTCACAGTGAACAGGACTTACTCGGTTATATCGTCCAGTGTGAGTTTTTGGGTGCCTGGAATGGTGATGATCCTGATGTACTACAGGATATATGTTGAGGCTGATAGGCAGGAAAGAATGTTATACAGGTAGGTTAAATTTTATAATATAAAAATAAAGATTTCATAACAAATTTTATTGAACTATTTATACAGGGTGCACCTTCTATGTATGGGTATCTTTTTTATTTCAAGGGCTAAAAGGACGGTTTAACTAAAATAAAGTTGCGTAAGTCTATTAAAATGGCATTTAAAAATTTTATACAAAATAAATGGTTCTAAAGTAGTCACGAATTTGAGGTTATAACACATTTTGACATTTGTATACAAATAGCTTTCTAAAGCCTGAATTATAGATTGCCTTCCTTCCTTCCTCCCGTAGTCGTGCCCGTACGATTTGTGCGTCTTGTAAAAAGTCAATTTATAGATTTCCGTGTAAAATTCCATAACCATGCGCGATGACACCTAAAATGGTTGACATTTGTTTTTGTTTATATTCTGCGTTTTACCCATTGTGTGTAAATATGAAAGACAATAATTTATATATTAGTGCAGTGATCACAATTTTAATTGCCCAGGCAGCTTGTTGTATACTGCCCAACTATGGAGAAAGACAGTAACTGCTAAACAAGAAATTTGTGGGAAATTAGCATAAACTACATTTTTATAAAAAGCAGTAGGTATTTAAATGATTTATTTAACTGCCTTTCTTTGTTGAATTAGGATACAAAATGTCCATAGCTTTATCATAGCACAAGAAAACGCCCACTTTACCAAGACTGGGAAACTTCGGGGTTTTACAAAGCAAAGTTTCTAAAAATGAAAGACATTGATCATAAACAATATCTAAATATCCTATTTAGAGATACAAATTATTTAATAAACTGAACACCCATCTTAAATAATACTAAACAATCATGTATTTTAAATATTTTGTGCCTACGCGCTGTCACCCTACAGCGCATGTCCATACAAGCACTGTAATTGGTCATGTCAAAGAACTTTACGGTGAAAGATAAAACTTAAAAATTTCTACGGGAGGAAGGAATGCCATCCTTACGGTACGGGAATCTATAACTGGCACTACGATTTAAATAAACATTTTTGGCGTAATTGTCACCATTAACATTGCACGTTATTAATTTAAATTAAACTTAAATTAATTAACAATTATTGATACTTTAAAATATTAAAATAACTTCAAAATATGATTTTGTTAAGAAAATATTTTATTCTTTGATTTTTTTTATTACTATAATTGCAAAATATTATCACAAAGTATTAAAAATTCCTACACGGGAAATGTTAATGGTGACAATTACGTAATGCAGGCAATTTATAATTTAGGCATAATGGTCATCACTTAAATAAACTAAAAAAAAAAATAAAGTTAAAAGGTAACAGGAGATTAGTGTCCAAAATCTTGCACCGTGATTTTTTTACTATGGTTTAAAATTTAACTAGTCATCTAGGGAATTTGACTAAAAAATGGAAAAGATTGGTGCTAATAACTAATTTCACACTTATTTGTAACGCAAATATATTTTGACGTCAAGAGCATAGACAAGGGATTGGTTGGGTGGGCGGGGGGTTAAGAGTTCGATTCTTCATCATCTGTGGTTCGATTCTATTTCATGTATGACCGATTCAGTTGATGCTAAGAGAAAATAATATGGATACAGATCCTGAACATTTTTTTTTCAGAAAATGAAAAAAATCATTTAATTCATCTTGTGGATACAAGGGTATCATTGAAAACAAAGAGACAGATAGGCCCAAAACAATTAGAGCAGAAAATTAACAATAAAAAGGATGTAAAAGAAATGACTCTTTCGGATTTAAAAATTTTAGAAGAAAAAAAAAACTTAAAATATTTATTATAATAATAAACTAGAAGTGACTATTTATTTTATTTTAATTTTAAATATGTATATATTAAATAAAACATCAAAAATATAATTTAAATAAAATTTTATAAATTCGCAAAATAATCTTGTATTAATTGATTTTGAAACGTAATGCGATCTTGTGGATGAGTAACAACAGGGTACTCCAGTTCATGGCATTTATATCATCAGGCAACGGCCTCTAGCAATATTATGTAGTACAGCTGCAGCTGGAATAATGGACAAAACTGTATCTAGTTGCCAACACTGGAAACTTTTTCCAAATTCCAAATACTCTTTCTATTATATTTCTTGTTCTTAGTAGTGACTCATTATAGAGTTGCTGATAACTATAGTTATTGGATTTGCTAAAGATGTCAATAAATAATATCTTTGGAAAATAAATCCTAAATACCGATTACAAGTACTTTTGAGGTTATAAATCGTTAAAGTTGGATTAAAGTAATTTAAACCCTCGAAATTTAGGGTTTATTTTAACAGTAGTTTAGAGGTATTTAAACAAGCATTAATTTACGGTGCAAGCCAATTATGAAAAATAAACCTGTGTTAAAAATAAAACCACTGTTAAACCTACGATGCAAGGGGCCATAAATGATTTGGTTTGTACCAAAACAGCAGACGTCAGTACGCAATGACAATCAGCGCCGCTGGTGGTGAACAAAAAAACCAATTTGTACAGGTTTTGTCAATTTCCCTTATTAAGTTCGGACCACAGATTATTTTTGTTTAGGCTCCATTGTACCAATACCTGAAAACTAAATATCACCAAAAGATTTTGCGTGCGAGAATATATTGTAATTGTCAGTTTTTCTTTTGTAATTTAATTTTTGAATTAAAAATAAAATTACATGAATAAATTTGTATGCACAAAATTGCCTGGGAAATTATGAAAACTAAATTAAAATATACAAAATCCAAATTATCAACGTATGCCCAGTTTTCGAGCTTTATTTAAAAACAATGTTTACACAAATCGAAATGGTGTCCTTTTTTAAACAAATGTGCTTGAAGCGCATTTTAATTCCATTACCTTTTTAAACCATTTTAAAGTAAACGAACTTATATTTGTTAAAACTAACAAATTTTGCCCTATATACAGGGTGTCCTAGAACTCGCAACCAAATATTTTACATATTATAATATCAAAAATGCAGCATAAGTATCCTAGCAATCTAAAGAATTTTCTATGGCAATGTATTGGGATTGGCTATCGTTTTTTATTCTGGGACACCCTGTATTGGTATAGTTTATATTTTTTCAAAAGTCTCAAATTGCCTATTTCTAACTTTACCTTTGAGGATACCTTAAAACTCGGTTTTACTACGACAATCCAGTCATAATGGATAGATATAATTTAAAAAAAAATATTTGGAAATGGCTGGTACTTCAAGCAAACACAGATTTTACAAAATTTAGGTCCAGCTTTAATAGTATATTATGTATCAAGTTTGATAAACGCCATTTTATACACGAATTTAATTTAGGCACGAGCGAGCTTGCGAGCGAGTGCTTAAGTTAATATGTGTATAGAAAAGTTTATAAACGAGGTGCATACTATACTTTTTCTACGACAAATACTTATTATTATCTTAAAATGATTTAAATAAAAAATTTGTATATAGCGCCATCTATGAAACAACAGGGGAAACTGTCAAATGTCAAATTTTTTAAACACAATTATAAAGGTTATAATAAATTGAAATTTGCAGTAGAGTCCGTGCCCGAATTTAAAAGGTCAGTACAATGCTCATATAAACTTTTTAAATATTGGCGTTGAAAAACTATTTAATACTTTTGTATTTTTGTATTGAGATAATAAAATAATTTTCACATTTAGTATTATTTTAGAAGAAAGGCACTTTATTTTAACGATTGTATGACATTTGACAACTGTCAACTAACTTAAAACTAACTTCAGCCCGTGACTAAAAACCTATTGCTAACTTCAGCCCGTAACTAAAGCGCCGTAAAGCCACAACTTGTCAATGTGTATTTAAAAGGTCACTTAGTGTCATGGAAACATGTACGATAAAGGGCGTTTTAAAGGTGGGAGTAGAAAAAAGTATTTAGTATTCAGGATATAATTTGTTTAAACCTCCTAACATTATAATGTTCCACCAGATAATATATGTATGTCTTTATATTGCCTTAGTTTTTTAAATCAAACAAAATTAAAATTTTATTTTGTTTTCATAAGCATAACAAAAGAAAATAAGAAACAACGAGTTTAAAAACACATGTAAACATTACATAAAATAAACAAAACATAACAGTAAACTTTATTAGAGACTCAAAACTAGGTTACTTTTTATTGTGAAAAATTTTAACTTCACCTTATTACTTCGTTTCAAACAAAACATTTTTCCATGATCTAAAAGACTGAGACGATGAAAAATCTCGATGAAAACTTTGATTTTCAGGGCAGCCATTATTGGTCGAGTATTAGTTTTCCGCCTTAAGGGGATACCGCCAACCGACGCTCTTTTATTTTTGTACCGGGGAAAACCGATTCGTTTATGCTGTTAGAGACGAAAAACCCGTTCCTTCAAATGGGTCAAAGAAAATTGAAAAGATAAGCGGTAAAAGTAATTAGGAGCCTTACACCGGAAGTAAAAACAGTCATTTTAACAAGAAATATGGTTTATGGTCTGAAAATGTAGTCATTTTAAATAAATATTGGTCAAGATTTAAATAAATAAAAACACATTTTAATTGTTTATCGCAAAAATACATGAATGGGAATGACGTCAAGAAAAACAATGGGCATTAAGTGTGAACGATTTTCATTCCGCTGTGTAAAATAATTCTAAAATTCTCTGAAAACTTGAAATCGTTTTTTACAGAATAAAATAAAACCCGTTATTGCTGTTTTATTTTACTTAAAATATATTAGTTTTAACTGTGTTATTTAATTTTAAACATTCTTAAACCGTTTTAATTAAAACAATTGTCGGTATACCTGGAAACCGTTTCAAAAACCGCTAAAACAAAAAAGCGAGTCGGGTGTGTAAGTTTAAAATTAAATTTAAATGTTATTTCATGCAAAAAATGCAAATTTAATAGAAACCAAAAGCGCGCAATAAAATTAATCTGTATGTAAATCTGACCTAAAAAAGGCGACAAGAAAAAAATACGAATCATTAATCAAGAATTGACTGAAGTTTCATTTTTGAAATAAATAAA